CCTTTGACGTCATTGATCATAACCTGTTGCTCTAGATTGGTTATGTTCGTACCTTAAACAACGATCTCAGAGAGTAGAAATGCCTTACTGGAATAATGGAACATTATGTACACACCTTACTGATTCTCTGCCAATTGTATGTGGAGTACCGCAGGGATCGATTTTCGGTCCTATTTTCTTCCTACCGTACGTAAACGATATGCCCTCGACCATTAGAAACGGAAGAACAGTTCTCTGTATGGATGATACGAATAATCTTTGCAATAAAGAAACCGCAAATAGTATAGTATGAGATATTTCAAATTGGTTCCATCATAACAAATTAATAGTAAATGAAAATAAAACTGTTTCAATGCAGTTTTCCATTTCAAATAAACAGCGCTGCACTTCACTGAAAATGAATGGTGTGCCATTGACTGATGTTAAGGTAACAAAATTTGTTAGGGCTTTCAATTCAAACCTTAAATGGAACGTTCAAACTTTAAATGAATTGAACACTAAATTAAATTCTTTAAGCTACACATTCAGAATTCTTTCAAATTCAGTAAGCCTACACACTACTCATTGTGTATATTTCGGGAATGTTCATTCCCGCCTGAGATTTGGCATAATATTCTGGGGAAGTACATCTTATAGTTCCCAGACTTTTAGATTACAAAAACGAATTGTACGAATAATAAGCAAATCCCACCCACGTGATTCTCGTAAGCCATAATTAATAGGGCGCAAAATCCTTAAGGGCACTTTCAATTGGCAAAGAATCAGAAAGGTGTGTACATAATGTTTCATTATTCCAGTAAAGTTCCTTTACTCTTTATTTATTTTATGTATTTATTTAAAGTTATTACACAGTATTACACAGTTACAAAGTATTACACAGTTAAAAACTGTGTGTGACGTGCTATGGAGAGAATTTATTTTGACGTTCTTTAAGTCCGTCACAATTATAACACGAGATAAAAATGATTAATTTTTTTCGTGCATTATTTCGAACATTTTGGAATTTAATATAGTTTCGAAAAATAATATTTGGGGGGGGGCATGAAAAACACGTTTCATTTTTTGCATATCTACACAGAAAAAAGTTTAAAAATCTGGGATATCAAGGTCAAATTTTCCTTAAATTTGTGCGATTTGGCGTAAATGACACATATAGTAACAAGATTTATCCACTTTTTTATCACGCAAAAATAATTTTTCTGTCAAAAACTCCATGTTTTCCGCGCACTATGATCATACTTTCTCTTCTTGCGAAGTAAAACGAGAGACTAACTAGTGGTGCTCCAACAGCACATACTTTCTTTTTTTTCCCCTGACTTTTGCACTTTTCTAAAAGTCAGAGTTCAAAGAATATGAGACTGTGCCATTGTTTTAAGGGTCCCTTATTCGATCAGTAAAAAAATATCGAAGAAAAAATTTGGAATGGTTTTTGACATTTTTTATTTGCATTAATTTCAAGCAGAAATTACGCAAAAAACACTCGTCTTTTTTCAAAAAAATTTTACTTTTTTTAAGATCTGTGTTTTTACAACAGTTTTTATTTAATACAAAATCTGTCTTCAAATGTGTAATTCTTGTTGCAATTGCAGATTGTCTGGATATATAATTTCTGCTAGTTTTTTGCTGTTGTCTAAACAAACTATAATATAACAAATAGACCGCATAACTAGCAGACCCTAGCAGTGTCATTTGTTTATAAATTATCTTAATAGTCGCATTTCGTTGGAAGACATCCATTTGAGACCGTACGTGTGTTTCTGTGATTCATAAAATTACATGTCTCACTTTTGCTTATGTTTGGACGTCACAATGCGTCTTGTCATTGACGCCTCGTAGTTCGAGCAGCGAGTCCAGTGGGCAGCGTGTTGTCTACGTGCTCCGGTGAACAAACTGTTAAAAAGAAATATTTGTGTCTGTCCCACTTTGAAATTTGGCAGATTTATACATTAGTGTATAAATACATGAGTATTTTGTACAATTAATTGTAGTATCGACCTAATGTGAAAAATTACAGTTTAATAATTAAAATATCTTTTAAATTATTAAATGAAATGTTAACAAAAAGTACATGTTCATCATAGGAAAGTACATCTTTTTAAGTAAAATTTAAGTGTAATTTTATTTTTCTGAAGGAATCGGTATTTGCGCAAAAAATTAAACATTAGTGCGCACATGATTCTTCGGAACAAATAATTGGAAATATTCTGAAAGGGCTGGATTAGAAAAAAAAGTCACCTCCTTTCTACCCTAGTCCTCATGAAAAAGTTTCAAGTCTCTAAAAAATAGTGATTTTTTGTGAAGCCCGATTTGACGTGGAATGACTCATATTCCGTTACGTGTCTCTAACACGTTTTTCCAATATCCTTATTTATGAAGATCACATAAACATCTAGTCATTTGCTGTAGAAGTTTACATAACAAGCAACTTAACATAACACGTTGGGTACTCACAATTCACGTTTTTTGAGTTTTTGACACCTAAAAATAGATTGACGGCAAAACGTCTGTCTGTCCGTCCGTCCGACTGAATGCGATTAACGGTAACACCTCAACTATTCTGACGATTTTCTCTAAAAATTGATGTAGCCCGATCGATTTTAAGTAACCCAAGTCACTGCGAATTTAAAAAGGATTTTGATTCTTGAAGTACTTTACATGAAGCCTCAATAACATTTTTTTCAAAAGTAGCTCCAAATATGTTGATTAAACATTTTCCTCGTAGCGAAGAGAACACTTAAAAGAATGGCACAGGTCTCATTTGAAATCCCTAATTTTTTGAAATTCAAAAAACATTTTCTGCGTCGTCATTCAACGTCATTGAAGACATATTGAAGACAGAGATTTATTTTTGTGATGAATTTTTTTCTTAAAAGACAGTTCTTTAGGAAAGGTCTTTTAGGATAGGTCTAAAAACATTTTCTCAAAACCGGCTTCAGGTTTTTTTACTTTTCATTAAAAGTAATTCACTTTTCATTAAAAATTGGTATTAATGTTTTTTAATCGTGATTATGTTCAAATGTGATTGTAAGTGAGGATTTCACATTTGAGAAAATGGCCATCCCTCACAAATTTTTCATCAGCAAATGTCTTGTGTTTATTGACAGTAACTTATTAAATAAGTTTCCTATTATATAGATTTTGTTTTAAATTACTATTTCATCAATGTACAAGTATTTAATACTTTTATACTTAATTATGTATGAAATTCCTACAAATTACGAAGATATCGGAATAGGCAAGGAAACGTTTAAATTGCCACTGCCTTGAATGTCATTAATTACGAAGGCTTTTGCTGGCACTACTGGTTCCAGGTTTGGTAAAGGTACTGAAATGTTCTAGGGTCGGTTCAAAATTTTTAACAATTTTTCTAGAGTGGAATTCTTAGTTGTGATACTTCTTTGAATTCAAAATATCACGTGCCGATTCAGATATTGCATTTGTTCTTTGCAGAATAATAATAAATCTACGTCAAGCACTCTGTGAGTCTCTTGACTGTGCGCGTCGATAGCCTACTGACTGACCTAAGAAGATTACAAACACCCTCCTGGAGTAGTGATCCTATTAGGCAGTGATGCCATTAGTTATTGGCTTGCTAACTCAGTGGATGCGGAGCTGTGGAAAAGGAAACATGTGAACGTTCTCTAGAAGTTCTCGTAAAAGTTGTTTTTCGTTGCATTACTTAACGAAGCTGGATCCTTTCAATAAAATGAAATGTATCTTTGATCGAGGCAGGCATCAAGGAATGTTATTTTACGGAGAACTTTTCCTATTTGAACTCTTTAGTGCTTTACGTGTAAATTGTGGTTTCAAACTTCAATAAAACCATATTTTTGCACGCCATGGTGACTAAACGTGCAATAAATGTCGACATTTCATAGGAGTGTTTAAATTTTGTTACGTGCAGGTACTACGGACTAGCGAAACATTCTTATGGCGTCTACTTTCAACGAAAGGCGTAGGAATAAAATAGTTTCGGCTGATACGTTTCTGACATCGATTCTTTTTCAGGCCCTAGATATGAACAACAGGGCAGTCATGCTGGGGTGCTACGTAGTTGCAATGATCTGGATGACTGGAATATACGCACAGTAAGTTTCACTTAATCATTTGTTTTGTAGAGTGCACCCTGTGGCCGTTAATATATCACTCACGTCTGATGTTTTACAACGAAAGAATTTTATCTTGTAAAAATGATTCCCTTTTTTTGGTGAAAATGAAAATATGTGATAATAATGTGTAGAGAAACTATTGGAAACTTGTAATTATATTTTAATATTTAACAGACACCGCTCTGTCGCGGTGTCGATATTCGTGGTGTCGATATTTTAGTGCGTTTGAATTTTCATTAATTTTTCACTTTTATGTCAAGCAAGAATGAAACTATCCTTCATTTGCCACATCCTTGTTTGTATTTACTTTATTTGAATGATTTCCTGCATGTGTAAAATAGGTTTTACGCATTTGTAAACGATGGCAAAGTAAGTGGTTCTTGTATTGCATATTGCATGAACGTATTATGGACAACAGTTGTGCTTAATTTATATTTTTGTCCTTTTCTGCATTTTCATTATTGTTCAGTTGAATCATTAGAAGTCTGTGCAATTGACTTCCGTAATTTAGCCGTATTGACCCGTACGCTTCCGTTACGTAACGCATACCTACAAACCTCTTTTTTTAAGTTGACGGAGAAAGGCTCACAAAAGAAATATCTTAAATTTCGTAAATTAACGAGCAAGAAAAGTAGGTCATAAGAGAGCATTATACATTACTTTGAGAGAATAGATACGGCTATAAAATGTGATGTATGTGAATATTGTGGATGTAAAAATAGAATTGCCAGCGCCACAGGAATTCAAAATTTTACCCAAACCACCCTCTTATTATTGGAACATAATTAACCTTACGCCAGAGTCAAATTACTTTCTACTTGCCATTTCCTCTGAAGTGAGGAATGAACGTGCGAATGAGTAACTCGGTCTTGTTTTTTCCCTCCCCGTAGGTACCATCATCATCATCACCACCACCACCACCACTCGCAGAGCCACAAACACATTTCAGGGGGGGCGTCCGGGTGGGCCCGCAGCGCCCACCTCAAGGCGGGGGCCGGGGGCACGCAGGCACTTCGAGCCTCGCGCGGCTATCGCGAGTTCGCGTTTCGTAGGTCGCGCATTCAGCAGCTGAGGTGAGTACAGGATTCAGGCAGGTTTTCTCTGCTCGTAATTGCAATCCGTTGGTTTTATGGACTCCAAAAAGCTATGTTCACTCAGCGTTTCTTTTTTCATGTTGCGCGAGAATAATATTCATTTTGTGTCAGGCTTTTGCGTATGTTTGGAGACCAGAATATTTTTGGCTTTATTTAACTTCCGTGCTCAGTACAGTGCAGTAAAATACGCCAGTTGTATGATAATTTATCTAAGTCATTTTTACATCGGTGGCCTTACAAATGGAAAACAAAGTGATAGAAAATACATGCACTGCATGTAAAGCCCTCTGTTATTGACAATTGTGAATTGGTGATGAACAATAGTTTTTCGCATTCATTTACAAAATACAGCTAACGAAAGAAGTCACCTTGATGTTAGTATTTTGCTTTTGAATCAAGTGCTGCGAAAGTGATACCTCCGCGTTGTTATTTTCTCTCTAATAACCGCATTGTTGAAAATATTATCTGAAAATATTATCTGAATTGCACATATTTTTCACGAATTAAGATGCGTTAGTGGCTTCTTTTGCTAGCACGGCTCTGGTATAATGACTAAAACCCTTTTCCCTCTTTTCTCTCTTCAGAAAACTACCTCGCCCACCAGACTCGTTAGAACGATACTTCTACTGCCTACGGTAAATATTTTGGATAGACCGATTGCCCTGTTGCTTTGACTCCTCTTCATTTTGTTTATAATGGCACTTTCCTCATAGCATTTATGTCTTATTTTAGCCATAGTGCTCTTAATTAAATGGTGCGCCACATTCAGAATGCGATTTGTTTATGTGGGTTGTAGAACGATATTCTCTAAGTGTCCGGAGAGATGTTCTGCAAAATGCAAGTAACAAAACAAATATTTCTGTACCTGACCAGTAGTGGCGAGCCGATGTAAGTTCCCCGCCTGATGCGCTTAAAGCAACGTGCATTGCAAGAACCACTTATTCGTAGTCAACAGGTACAACGATTAATAGTACAATAAATCAGTTATTTTGAATTGTGCTTCGACAGTGTTTAGGTATATGCTAAACGATACCATTATCACGCCTTGCTAGAACGAAATTTCGACTATCTTTTAGCCTATTAAATTTTAGACAATTTATTGGCATTATTTCCAATTCTTTGTTTCAATAAGCCCCATCAATATTACTCAATAATCATAATAGATACGATGACAATCGTAGTGTACTTTCTCCACTAGGAGAATTCACATAAATTTGTTGTAAAGACAACATTGGAAAACAATGTTTTTTTTTATAAAAAAGATTATATCGTGAACAATGTATTTCTAAAGGATTCTATGCCATGTAGCTGACTACTATTTCTTACTTACTTTCTTCTTTCTTTCCTAGAATACACTCTCATTAAATGCAGTTAAACAGACGATTGTGAAGTGTGTTGTGTTTCATCCAAATTGTTAAAATTATAGACAATTGACTCAGTCTTGAAATGCCAGGAACTGAATCTAAAAGATGACAATAAATTTTATTAATTTTTTATCTCAGAATCCTCACATGTCATACCCAATGAAGAAAAAAGTTACTTTACCGCAACATGATCAATTGCGCGGATGTGACGAAGTTTCGTCTGTTTGATAATTGACGGCAGTAATTAAATGAGTGTAGAATTCCACGTATAATTGAAGATAAATGGTTCAAATTAAGTCAATTATTAAATGTGAATATGATTTGAGACATTGCATTAATATAAATTATTCTACTTATGATTAGGTACACGTTAAACAATACCTTTACCATGTTTTTTTGGCATAAGAGTTTTAATATTTTGTAGTCTTTCTGGTTTTAGTCTGCAAAAACATATTAATTTTTTTCTAGAAAATTGTTAAAATCTGAAATGTTCATTGATTTTTGAAGTATTTTAATAAACTAAACTGGAGATAGCTGTATACTGGTATACTGTAGATTACACGCGTTCGGTAAGGTGAGAATGTTCGGTAAGGTGAGGCTTATTCGTGACTATATTACTCATTACGAGTAAATATGATGAAAATTTGAGCAAAATATGATTACCTAAATGTTTGTTGTTTGGGGATACATAGACAAAGGTTTTACTTTCTTTGCCTTTCTACTTACTTCCGTCGTAAAGAGAAAGTATTGTAATGCTGCAGCGGAAATTGGCGATTTTTCGTAAGAAAAAACTCGTATTGAGGGGTCTTCATATCGCACGAGTTGATAAATATTGTTCCTTTATGTAGTCAATATCTTCCTCTATTATGTTATACATATATTATTATATTATGTCAGAATCCACGCTTTGTGGGTCCTTGATGCCGAACATTTGGTTTATGAAAAAGCGACTCTCAGTTCGTGTATCAGTATGTGGTCAATGAAACCGCCTAAACTGTTCAGATGATTTTCTTCAGACTAATATTCCCTTATCAATCTGGCCTAAGTCCAGGCTCCATTAATTTGAAACGGATATTTTCAGTTTTGGGAGTACGTTACACGTTACAGGATTTACATTTTCAAAATTTTCTCAAAAATGGTTCAATTTGTTCCCCTTCGCTTAGAGCAAAGGTCGCTTAAAATGTGCCTCAGGTCTCATTTTCGTTGTATACCTAAATTTTTGAGAATTCAAAATTTAAATTTCTTTCAGCGTATTCATACAACTACATTATTGAATATAGATATTTTCCTGAATTATTTTGTCCTTCAAAGATAGATCAGAGAATAAGGTTATTTACAATTTTTCAATAAAGTGAATAATTTGTGCGAATTTGCATGAAATAGAGATCAATAAAAAATATTTTCTCAAAAACGAATCCAATGTTGTTTAAAAATATTCCTCGTTGAATAAAGTACGTTTCTAAAAAAGGGGCAGGTTCCATTTTCGGAGTGTCATAGTTCTCTGTTTCGGAATTCTCTGTTATTTTAAAAAATCGCAAAACTTAATATTGCGAAAGTACAATATTGATGATAAAGGTTTTTGTCCTTAATCAAATCTGTTTTGAAACTTAAGATTTTTAAAGAAACTCACGTACAACGTTTCGAAATTATGAGTAGTTTTCGAACAATGTTTGCATGAAATAGAGGCAATTAAAAATATTTTCTCAAAAACTGCACGAAATTCTTTATTAAAATATTTTCCTCGGATACAGTAAAGGACGCTTAAAACCGAGCAGGTCTCATTTTTCATTGATTCTCAAAACTGCATCAGGTACACATAATGAGAGGACGTATGTGCTGTTGTAGCACCACTATTTTTCTTTAAGTGGAAAAGGGACCTTCCAAAACAACTTGAAACCTTATCAGACAGGCGTGCAATTCTGCTGACGGAAAGCAATGTCCTGGGTGAAGTACATCGCGACCCTTACACACTTTTTTCACACAGGACCCTTACGGAGGAGTGTCGTGTAAGTTTAGTATTGTGCAATAAATAAAAAGTATGAATAAAATATATTGAATGGATGTAGAGTTAAGTTAATCGTCATACTCGACAATTGGACTTGTCCGGAAAATATCCATTACTGAATATCCACCCTTCTCATAACTGTATACAAAATAACGTAGTTCAAAAGTGGTGTTATTTTTGAGTTGTAGTTCGAAGAGTGAAGGCATTTCACGTATTTCATTACAAAACCGAGAACAGACTAATATGTGGCTGAGAATTTCTCGATCTGATTACATTACAGTGATTTGGATAATTCTAGAATTTTTGATGTTTTCTGCGAAAGAATGCTTTCTGTTGTATCTTCCACAAACTTTTCTGTGTATTTTTGTTGTTGCAAATGTTTTGCTAGAATAATCCAATGTGACATTTTGTAATAGCTGCAGAATAATTTTGTTTACAGAATAGTGTGTATTCGGTACTTGACATACGGTGCACGATAACGTAGTCTGACACAAAAAGATATCTGTTAAAAAGTAGATTGAAAATCAACAGCTCGATGGTCATAGAAGCTGCTCAAGGTTTGTATCCCTGCTGCTGCTGCTTTTCACAGTTCGAGATGCCCTAAATGTTTAAATTCTTCACGAATTGAAGCATCAATCAATGACTTTATGGACGTATTCAGAAACGTCAATAGTAGCAAACGAAGACAGGGGAATGGGATGAGAGAGTGTCGACCTAGACTGAGTTAACCACCAGGAAGTGTTATACAGGTGACCCACCGACTATGGGCCACTCTCATAACTTCTAAACGGTTCACGATATCGAAATGCAATTTTCGCTCAAAAATGCGCAAGCATGGGGCAATTAATATGGCGTAAAAATATTGTTTGAAATATTTTTAGTTTTTGAGAAATTTAATCATCTTTGATTTTTTAAATGGAACCATGTATTTTTTCACTAGCATTAGATAGACCATACAAAGGGGAATGCAATGATAAAAAAATGTTAATGTTTTGATGGTATTTGGGTATAAAATTATACTTTCTGACTGGTGATTTTAAGTTAAACGTACAGTCTGTCCTGTAGCTGCCTTTGCAAATGTCGTCTTGCGAGAAGGTGGCCTTCGCAGTGCCGGCACTATTGCGGGAAGATGGTAGAGGCCGGATGTAGGTTGGCTCCGGATTTCGCTATTAAGCGGGGGAAGAACACATCACCATTCGTCATAAAATATGCACTGCATTTACTGGTCTAATGGTCATGGTAGTTGACGCGGCCGGAAACACGAAATAATTGATCAATCAATCTAATAACATGTATCATCATTAAATTTAACTTAATGACTTTGACATAGCTTTGGACATGTTTGGAAACCCTGAGTCTTGTCAATAGCCACCTGAATAGAAATAATAAGAGCCAGGTGGATGTTATAAGTATTAAAACAAATTATATATTTCATTTTTTGTCAATATTTGACTTGTGTGTATTTTGAAATAAATTAATTTTAATAAACCATGATCATTAAATGTTAAGAAGTGATCTAATAGTTGAAGCTACATAAGTGACTCTGAAAAACTACAATGCAGAAGGGTCGAAAAAGGTAACTTTTTCCAATGAACTTGTGTTTTGAAATTTCCTTGTAACTAAGTTACGCATGCGATATTTGCCCCTCGTTGTTGGGAAACTCTTTATGCACTAGTATTTGGCAGGTCAAGTTCTGACGTACTAAAAGTGTGTTCGTCTACCTGCTAGACTTGAGAGCATAAAGAGTTCCCTAACAGGGGCAAATATCACCCGTGTAACTTCGTTGTATGAATTAATATCCACATATCATCGGCAAAAACGTATCATCTTCGACCCACCTGCATGCTCTTGAACTGTGAAACATTTATTCCGTGACTCTTGTATATATAGTATAAGCAATTTATTGTCGAGGTCTCGTAAGAAAAGACGATGACAATATGTGCGGAATATATTTGCGTAGCGTTTTGTATGAAATGAAATCTTCACAGAAAATTCCACACGTACCTCGTGATTGGCATTGTGCATTTCTTCAGCCAATCGGGTTAGAAAACATATTTATGGCGGAAGTTTAGAGACATTAAAATTCGTGTGTATTATTCTTTCTGCATGATTCTTAGTGTAGTTAGAATTAATACTCTACTTCAAAAACGTACATGCTTTTCGTTGGTATTATATTGAATCATTGCATTTGCAAATAAATTTAAATCATATGACTGATGAGTAGTTTGAATTATTTTTGTATCATTTAGTGTTTTGTATATTTTTTAGCAAATGCTGAGGCATTCCTTTGTTTAAATTTTGGGCACTTAATGTTCTTTTCTTTTTTCCAAACATCAGATTCAATTTTCAACATATTTGAATGTAAGTGTATAAAATAATAGACTGTAATGTAAAAATACACAAATACATGCACATGTTACTGCATTCTTG